AAGAAGAAGAAGAAGAAGAAGAAGAAGAAGAAGAAGAAGAAGAAGAAGAAGAACAACAACAACAACAGCAACAACATCACTAATAACTACAACAACAACAACACCGCAACAACAACTGCAACAACAACTACACTGTATTTTTAGAAAAAAAAGCAGTTGAAACAAGTGTATGACGTAAGATCAGGAGAATGCAGGGCAGAATATCTAGGGGCACAATATAAAATCAGAAGTGATGAACATACACAAGGACCGTGTTTCGGTTTGAAATGTATTCCACTTTTATTTTTAGCTTTACAAATATTGAGAAGTCAAAAAGTGAAGTGACGACCTTAGAGGTTGATAATGTCAATTTCTAAAATCACAAATACAAATATTTAATAGGAAACAAAATACTAATTGCCGTAACAATGGCAATTTTTAAAAGTACATGGCATGATGTAATGACAAGTTTTCAGGTTGAAATGAAAAGAGACAATAAGACATATTACATAATGTATGATGAAAGTGAAGACGACAGAGGCATCGACGACGAAGATAACGACGATAAGGATGCTAGAGATAAGCCCTATTTCGAAGATGTGAAATATATCCTTTAAGGACCTCCGCCCCTCCCCTCTAACCCTTTTATTTTTACCCTTTAACAACCCCCCCCACCCACAGCCCTCCCACCTACTTTTCAATATACACTAAAAAAGGCGCCCCTTTTCTGTTCCTAGTCAGCCAGCCACTCTCTACGCGAACTCCCCGTACAAAAGTTTGTGAGAAACTTACGCCCCCTGCAACAATGTAAGGTTGTTTAAGCTGCATGATCTCTGAATTTCACGTCCATCTCAGACAGGACCGAGGCAACTCGTTACCCTAGAATTACAAATTTCTATCTTCTAAATACCTAGTTTTGAGGAATTTGACGTAAATTTTTTTTGAGTTTTTCAATAATATGTTAAGCTTCTTCGAAAGCATTTCTTTTAAATTCTTTTAATAACCACTCCGAATAGTCTTACACTTTTGATTGAGCAGATATAATATACTTTTGGTTTCTGACCCTATGGTCTTATAGTAACCCAAAGCGGTCCAAAAATGTCAGTTACAACGTTGTAATTCTTAGGTACCGAAATGTGAAAAATCGTCTAAAAGACAACTTCGAACAGAGTTCAGATCTGAACCCCCGAACCCACAATCTTCCGATTACTAGTCCGGTAGCCTGGACACTAGACTAATTTGGTGGATACACGATTAGAGTGTGACAGCGACGGTAAGCTGTTTGGTCACCTTGCATAGTTGAGCTATACTTCCTCTCTTTCTCTCTCGATCCGTTCCTCTATACACGCCACTGTCTCTAGCTTAATCAGCTAGCAGTGGGCGAAATGTAGAGCAATCTTTTAGGAGGACAGTTTTTTTTTCTCGAGTCATTTATATTACATTGTATGTTAACTTCCCAAATTGCTGTACTGTTAGAATACTTTTCAACATGATGATGATGATGATGATGATGATGATGATGATGATGATGATGATGATGATGATGATGATGATGATGATGATGATAATGACGATGATAATGATGATGAATATCATTAACATGTCCGCTACTGCCCTTATCATAGTGGTCATCGTCGTCATCATCTTTTGTTCGTGTCATCCTGTTTATAAATGACTTTCTCACCACTACAATCCCAATTGACCAGACACAAACGCCCACCCATCCCCCCAGTACTGGCAAGAATTAACAGAGATCGTAAGAAGAGGCGAGATATTTTTACCTCACCTTTTGGGAAAAAACGAGGGTGAGTACACATTGAGACCGGTTGAAGTCTAAAGTCGTGCCATGAAGTCATTAGACATCGGAATTCAACTGGATTTCGAAGTTCAATGACGTCAAAGCTCATTAGCAGTCATATAAATCAAGTGTGGCATTGGCATAATTCAGTCTGATAGATTCAATTTATGTTGAGAACCATAATGCATTTCCAAATAAACATTCACATTGAGCTATTCTGTAGACGCTGGTGAAACGTACCTCTTTGCCGTTTCTAAAAGCTTAATTAGCTTTTCAGTAAGGTAAGAGATGGCTGCCCGAATGGATATTCCTTTTTTTCAGTTTGCCTTTCCAAAGATATGAAGTCATTCCAGTCACTTAAAAGTTTAATCTCATTCATTCATTCATTCATTCATTCATTCATTCATTCATTCATTCATTCATTCATTCATTCATTCATTCATTCATTCATTCATTCCGTTATTCATTCAGTCGATCATTCATTTAAACAGTGAACCATTTCTTCAATTGTACATTAAAAAAATTCTTAAATCATACTTGTTTTTTCACTACCTAAGTCATTCTGTGACACTCGTCTGTCTCTTTGTGAAAAATAAACATTCATTATCTCAAAAGCACTAAATGGAGGAAAACGGTCTCAAAACGGATGACTTATTAAATAGCCACAGCATATTTTCTGTACAATATTATACACTCGAGACAGTGAGAAAAGTTGCTGGTTTTAGTATGTACAATTGAGACAAGTTAAATTGCAAAAAGTAAACAAACAAACAAATAAACAGAGGCAGACAAACAAACAAACAAAAAACAAACAAACAAACAAACAAACAAACAAACAAACAAAAACGCACATTTCAAAAGATACCTCATAGAAAAAGAAACAAAGTTTGCAATAATAAACAACTGCACCCCCCCCCCCTCACACACACGCACATACACACTCACACACAAATAACCCAGATAATACAATAAATAAAACGTAAGAATAATTCGTAGAATGAGGAGCACAAAAAAACGAGGAGCAGCTATATATATACGCGTTATCTTTTTAAATCTTGGTTGACAGAAGCCAGTATTTTGAGGGTTTTTATATTTTAAAAGTCTTTTTGAGTGGGGATAAAGAATGAGAAAATAGGACATCTTCTTTCCTTTGCTTCTTTGTTTTTCCCTAGTGTTGAAGGATTCTATTGTGACAGTGGCAAGATAATTTTACAGCAATGGGAAAGCTGGTACTCAAATTTGCGAACCAAAACTCCTTTCATAGCCCTGTTATCACTATTGCAAAAAAACTCTATTCCCGTAAAAGAAAAGACTAATCGGCTGAACGAAAAACAAGGAAGAAGAAATATAAGACGTAAACAGTGTCGTAGAAGGAAAACACGAATGGAGAGACTGAATGCTGGTAAAAGAAATAAATTACGAAAAGACATTGTTCACAAATATGTTATGTCACATAAAAAACATCCTTATGTTGAAGCTGGTATGGATGAGCTTCATAAAAAATCACAGTAACACATTGAAACATATCATGATTGACTGGCCATTGAAGTCAGTTTTCGACCTTTTTCTCTGTACATGCAAGATACAGCATATACTCCTCGCCAAAGATACGTCGTGTACAACCAAAGAAAACATCTTTATCATACTCGGAGCACAAGCTGTTGACTGGATCATCCCAAGACAGGGATCCAGGAAGTACAGCAATGTTCTCTATAGAGACATCTCTCTGTCTTTCTCTTTTTCTCTACGGTCCAAATAACAAACATGAGGACATTTAAATGACATCTTTGCCAGACAACTACTGGATTTTGTTTGTTTGGCTGAGTTTTTGTTACCGAGAACAACATTTATGAGAGCATTATTTAATCAGAAACAAGCAGTAAAGTTACCGCATGTTGTCGCAGAGTATTACCCACAGCTATGTACTGCTGTTATCTTCCACGTTCGACAATAGACCTTACCACCAACCTTTACAATTCTATGTCTATTCAGAACTCAAAGCGGCTCAAGAACAAACGAGCATGAGTTGAATTTAGTCCCTGTATCTTGCAAACACTCGGTGGTCATGAAGAAGTTCAAGGATGGTAAGCCTAAGTTGATTGAAGTAATTGTTCATTCATGTGAGCAAAACTATTATCATCATCAAAGGTGAGAACATCGGCGTGATTTTCTATTATGTACAAACTGCACCCTATCCCTCCCCTCAAATGACTTCCCCCCCCCAAAAAAAAACCCCCCACCCACCAACAAAAACAAACAAAAAACAACTCCCCACCCCAGCTTTAAAAAAGCAAAAAAGATTGGCGAACCCTCCAAAAAAGAACGATAATCAATTCTTATGTAGCGTCAAAGATCGTACATAGCAAGATAGTTCACTTAGCCACAAGAGTGTCTGCGGAAGTCTGCGCATTGGATCAAATGGAGCTGTAGTCTTTGTTTTTGAAGCTCTCTTTTGTTTCTCCAGAAGAAGAATAGGAATTGCACAGTTCGTCAGTTTAACTTGCATTGTTTTTCACATAAGTATGGTAACTCTGATCGCAAAGTTCGCACTTTTTCGAAGAGGGCGCCACCGAATTTTGAGGACACTTTTTTAATTGGCTCAAAGAGAGGAATAACTTATCTTGTTATACACGATCTTTGGTAGCGTCCTTTTTCACGCCGAGACATCGGTTTCTAGGTGGCTGTTGCTTTTATCATTGCTGCATCTTGCAGGAACAAAGTCCCCTCCGTTACTCACATCAGAATTAACGTGTTCATTTTCACGACTCTCTCGAGGGCTCAACGATTTCGAACTCGTTACGTCGTCCTCACCAGCGACAGGGGCTGGCTCGTGAGGCGACTCGCACACGTCATTATTTTGAGCAACGCTACAGCCAGCGTCAGTATTACCACTGGTATTCTCGGCACTGCCACATTCCAAGTCCATTGGTTCATCTTCCTTGACCATAACCTGCATATCTACCTCGTCCCTCTCGCCCTTCTCGCAGGGGCTGTGAACGGGCGTGCAAGAATCGTGGGCGTCATCACTCAAACTGGCGATGGAACAGGAAGACGGCGACTGCAGACCGCCATTGTTAAAACTGTCTCGAAGCGTCTTCTCTTGAACTTTACGTAGCTCCATCTCCGCAACCGAGCCCGTGACCGATTTACTAGGTGGGAACAGTTTTTTAGCGGCAGTTACGTCGTTTTTGAGTTCTTCGAGGTCGCGTTTGAGTTTGGCGCGTCGGTTTTGGAACCAAGTTATAACCTGGGCGTTGGTGAGGCCTAGACTGGCTGCGATTTCGTCACGGTCTGCCGGTGTCAAGTACTTCTGGTACAGGAACCGCTTCTCCAGCTCGTAGATCTGTTGATTGGTGAATGCAGTGCGAGATTTTCTTCTTTTCTTGGGAGGCTGATGTTTTCCGAACAGGGCAGCCTGGTCTCTTCTCTTGGCGTCTGAGGAATAACAAATAGACATTAAAGAAACTATTTTTGGGATGTTAAGTCAGTGAAAGAAACAGATTAAGAACTGCAGAAAAAAGGCTGAAACAAAATAGTTACAAAAGATAATACAATATGATAATATACCGATCATTACAAAAACATACAGTTCACAGTCATCAAGCTTAGTATATGGGACAGCATCATCAAAAACAACAAAATGTCATAAAAATGAATACGTTGTACATGTTTTACCACTATGAGTAGAGACCGCGAGGCAGATAACGAAGTGATGATGATGTTTGATATACATTTCAATATGAGCAGCAAAAGCTGCAGAGAAAAGCAGGTGCTCTCCTGTTACTACACGAAGCGACGTTTTAGTGTTTAAATAATTTAGAGTATGAATGTATGAGTCTCGAATCTTTCAGAAAGTGTGAAAAGGGAAAATAAAACTACCCAAAAAATATTTTTAACTCCTCACCCCAATAAACAACAACAACAAAACAGAACAAACAAAAAACTAGAAGGGAAGAACAAATCTGACAAAGACCCAGAAAGTTAACACTTGGAAAAGAAGAGATATTATACGGTTACTCAAAAGAAAGAAAAACGAACACACAAAAAAACAACCCCCCCAAAAATTATGAATATTTCACAAACCCTCACGGGCTCACACTCACACACAATGGAACATATTAAGAGTTTACAAAAGAAAAAAAATCACAGAAAAGGGGAAGGAGGCCGGCGCGGGGGGAGGGGGGGGCAGAAAGAGTGAGGATTATAGAGCCCGTAGAAAGAGAGAGGGTTTATAAGGGGTCCGTGTGCTGGGGTTTTGGTGGTTTGGAAGATAAAGACGTGCCGAGGTAAAATGAGAAACAAGGCCCGATCTTGAAAGCTAGCCTATTGTATGTAATTGGGGTCACGGGCTACAAATGACAAAAGTTGAGGGCAAAAAACCATCTCCTGAGGAAACCATCACCCGCACACTACGTAATTATTACAGGGGGCCTTTGTACGTACCCGCAACCCTTAAATGTTGCCGAAAGGATACAGAATAGACGGGAGTTTTTACGGGTGGCTGCTATAATGTTAATGTCACCCGTCACTGATAAGGATTTTTATGAACTCCCGAATTATTGGGGGCAGCGACGAGACAATATTGCGCGGGGATGGAGGGATGCGATGAGATGGCAATGGTAATGATATTTATCTTCCAAATTTTGTAGCCAGAAAATTTCATTAGCTCTCGACAGGTGTGATTTCGGTGTATTGAAAGAAAGCCCAATTTATGCATGTGTATTTTTTAGGGGGAGGGTGGTGGTAAGATTCTCAGGATTATTACAATCACCTGTACATGTATTTGAATAAAGGCGTTATTGTTGCTTGTACAGTTTTGGGTTTTTTTTTCTGACCCGAAGTATAAAAATAACAAAACAGATCAAAAGGTACGTTCAGGAAAAAAGTGATTTAAAAAAGAACACAAACGCTGCTCCAGGGCATTATAGTCCAATAGGCCTCCATTCTCGCTGTTATGGAAAGATTTTGTCAGTTTTGTCAGCGCACATGTAATATGAAGCTCAGGAAAATGCTGGCTTATTTACGTTGTGTTGTTTTTGAAAACGGTAGATAGATAGATAGATAGATAGATAGATAGATAGATAGATAGATAGATAGATAGATAGATAGATAGA